AAGATTTTAATTGTCATCATCAATATATTTAGTTAGACGTTATTCTAAAATGGTATAAAAAGAAAAAAATATTTAAATATAAAGGGCCAAAATGTGTTTCAGCGGAATATTATTTTGTCTAACTGAACCGGTCCCGAAATGATAGTTACGATACATCCTTGCGATTCTTTTGCTGAATACTTTCTCAAAAACGCGTTTCTACTGAAGGAAGTCAATTCGAAGCGAAACGAAAACGCGTGCTCATTGAGATGAATTAATCGTTTGTCACGAAACGCATAACGACCGAGCGATCGACGTTTCGTTTAGAGGATTAAATTACTGTGTTGCACAAGGAATTTAATTAGCATCATATTAGTAGATGATCGGGCGGCAAGGTCTTCCCACCTAAATTGTCACTAGTTTCTTCGAATTTACGAATACCTATTCGATGGATCTTTTCTCCCACTATCCACACCTCGCTCATCTGCTCAGTCACCACGTTACGTTCTCGCGTACCACCACTTAAATACTCGAGATCGGCACGCGCGACACTCTCGCGAGTGGTAACGAGCTAGTTGGTCGTGTTCGATCAACCGACCACATTGATTGTGCGCGTGACCAACGGATTTTCCTTCAATCTTTGAATTCTTCCATCTAAGAGGAAAGCGAAGCAGATTGTTCTCGCGCATATCCAGGTAGGTTTTTTTTCCTTTTGTTATGAGTTCTTTCTTGGTCATCATGGAAAACTTTATTGTCTTTTTATGTTGAACTAGATATATACTTATCAGATTTTTTTTTATTTTTATAGTTTTCTAATTAGGCTATTCTTTATGATTAATCATCTATCTTTGTTTTAAAAGATTATGTGCTTAAGGGATTTTACAAGTATAAGAAAGAAATTTTCTTTCAACGCAAAATGTTGATAAATATTATGGCTTATATAAGTTGTTATAGAAAGACATTCTTTCTTATAATTTTTCGCATATAAAAAGATATTTCAAAAATATTTCTCTTTTTACAACATACTTTGTAGTTATATATAGTACTTGAGTAGTAGAGTGTAGTACACACACACACACACACACACACACACACACACACACACACACACACACACACACACACACACACACACACACACACACACAC